TTTTTGCATCTATATTCATCAGTGATATTGGTCTTTAATTTTCTTTTTTTTGTAGTGTCTCTGTCTGGTTTGGGTATCAGGGTGACGGTGGTCTCATAGAATGAGTTTGGGAGTATTTTGGAAGAGTTTTAGAAGGATACGTGTTAGCTCTTCTCTAAATGCTTGATAGAATTCACCTGTGAAGCCATCTGGCCCTGGGCTTTTGTTTGTTGGAGGATTTTTTTTTTTTTTTTTTTTTGTGGTACGTGGGCCTCTCACTGTTGTGGCCTCTCCTGTTGCGGAGCACAGGCTCCGGACGCGCAGGCTCAGTGGCCATGGCTCATGGGCCCAGCCGCTCCGCGGCATGTGGGATCTTCCCAGACTGGGGCATGAGCCTGCGTCCCCTGCATCAGCAGGCGGACTCTCAACCACTGCGCCACCAGGGAAGCCCTGTTGGAGGATTTTTAATCACAGTTTCAATTTCAGTGCTCCTGATTGGTCTGTTCATATTTTGTATTTCTTCCTGATTCAGTCTTGGAAGGTTGTACTTTTCTAAGAATTTGTCCATTTCTTCCAGGTTGTCCATTTTACTGGCATATAGTTGCTTATAGTAGTCTCTCACAATCCTTTGTATTTCTGCAGTGTCAGTTGTTACTTCTCCTTTTTCATTTCTAATTATTTTGATTTGAGTGTTCTCTCTTTTTTTCCTGATAAGTCTGGCTAATGGTTTATCCATTTTGTTTATCTTCCAAAGAACCAGCTTTTAGTTTTATTAATCTTTGCTATTGTTTCCTTCATTTCTTTTTGATTTATTTCTGATCTGATTTATGATTTCTTTCTTTCTGCTAGCTTTGGGGTTTTTTTTTTCTTCTTTCTCTAACTGCTTTAGGTGTAAGGTTATGTTGTTTATTTGAGATTTTTCTTGTTTCTTTTTCTTTCCTTTTTTTTTTTGGCTGTTTTGGGTCTTCATTGCTGCACGTGGGCTTTATGTAGTTGCAGCGAGCAGGGGCTACTCTTCATTGCAGTGCACGGGCTTCTCATGGCAGTGGCTTCTCTTGTTGTGGAGCGTGGGCTGTATCTAGGCACACGGGCTTCAGTAGTTGTGGCCCAAGGGCTTAGTAGTTGTGGCTTGCGTGGCACAGGGGCTTAGTTGCTCCGTGGCATGTGGGATCTTCCCGGACCAGGGATCAAACTCGTGTCCCCTGCATTGGCAGGTGGATTCTTAACCACTGTTTCACCAGGGAAGTCCCTCTTGTTTCTTGAGGTAGGATTGTATTGCTGTCAACTTCCCTCTTAGAACTGCTTTTGCTGCATCCCGTAAGTTTTGCGTCATTATGTTTTCATTGTCATTTGTTTCTAGGTAGTTTTTGATTTCCTGCTTGATTTCTTCAGTGATCTCTTGGTTATTTAGTAGCATGCTGTTTAACCTCCATGTGTTTGTATTTTTTACAGTTTTTTTCCCTGTAATTGATATCTAGTCTCATAGCGTTGTGGTCGGAAAAGATGCTTGATACAATTTCAATTTTCTTAAATTTACCAAGGCTTGATTTGTGACCCAAGATGTGATCTGTCCTGGAGAACGTTCCATGTGCACTTGAGAAGAAAGTGTATTCTATTGTTTCTGGATGGAATGTCCTATAAATATCAGTTAAGTCCATCTGATCTAATGTATCATTTAAAGCTTGTGTTTCCTTATTTATTTTCTGTTTAGATGATCTGTCTATTGGTATAAGTGAGGTGTTAAAGTCCCCTGCTATTATTGTGTTACTATTGATTTCCACTTTTATGGCTCTTAGCATTTGCCTTATGTATTGAGGTGCTCCTATGTTGGGTGCATAAAGATTTACAATTGTTATATCTTCTTCTTGGATTGATCCCGTGATCATTATGTAGCATCCTTCCTTGTCTCTTGTAATAATGTTTATTTTAAAGTCTCTTTTGTCTGATATGAGTATTGCTACTCCAGCTTTCTTTTGATTTCCATTTGCATGGAATATCTTTTTCCATCCCCTCACTTTCAGTCTGTATGTGTCCCTTGGTCTGAAGTGGGTCTTTTGTAGACAGCGTATAAACGGGTCTTGTTTTTATATCCATTCAGCCAGTGTATGTCTTTTGGTGGGGGCATTTAATCCATTTACATTTAAGGTAGTTATTGCTATGTATGTTCCTATTATCATTTTCTTAATTGTTTTGGGTTTGTTATTGTATGTCTTTTCCTTCTCTTGTGTTTCCTGCCTAGAGAAGTTCCTTTAGCATTTGTTGTAGAGCTGGTTTGGTGGTGCTTAGTTTTCTTAACTTTTGCTTGTCTGTAAATGTTTTAATTTCTCCTTCAAATCTGAATGAGATCCTTGCTGGGTAGAGTAATCTTGGTTGTAGGTTCTTCCCTTTCATCATTTTAAATATGTCCTGCCACACTCCCTTCTGGCTTGCGGAGTTTCTGCTAAAAGATCAGCTGGTTAACCTCATGTGGATTCCCTTGTATGTTATTTGTTGCTTTTCCCTTGCTGCTTTTAATATTTTTTCTTTGTATTTAATTTTTGACAGTTTGATTAATATGTGTCTTGGCGTGTTTCTCCTTGGGTTTATCCTGTAAGGGACTCTCTGCGCTTCCTGGATTTGATTGACTATTTCCTTTCCCATGTTGTGGAAGTTTTCGACTGTAATCTCTTCAAGTATTTTCTTAGACCCTTTCTTTCTCTCTTCTTCTTCTTGGACCCCTATACTTCGAATGTTGGTGCATTTAATGTTGTCCCCGAGGTCTCTGAGACTGTTCTCAATTCTTTTCATTCTTTTTTCTTTATTCTGCCCTGTGGCAGTTATTTCCACCATTTTATCTTCCAGCTCACTCATCCGTTCTTCTCTCTCAGTTATTCTGCTATTGATTCCTTCTAGAGTATTTTTAATTTCAATTGCTGTGTTGTTCATCACTGTTTGTTTGCTCTTTAGTTCTAGCTCCTTGTTAAACGTTTCTTGTGTTTTCTCCATTCTATTTCCAAGACTTTGGATCATCTTTACTATCATTACTCTGAATTCTTTTTCAGGTAGACTGCCTGTCTCCTCTTCATTTGTTAGGTCTGATGGGTTTTTACCTTGCTCCTCATCTGATGCATATTTCTCTGTCTTCTCATTTTGTTTAACTTACTGTGTTTGGGGTCTCCTTTATGCAGGCTGCAGGATCGTAATTCCTCTTACTTCTGTTGTCTGCCCCCAGTGGGTGAGGTTGGTTCAGTGGCTTGTGTAGGCTTCCTGGTGGGGGCGACTGGTGCTTGTGTTCTGGTGGGTGGGGCTGTATCTTGCCCCTCCGATGGGCAGTGCTGCATCTGGTGGTGTGTTTTGGGGTGTCTGTGAGCTTAGTATGACTTCAGGCAGCCCGACTGCTAGTGGGTGGGGTTGTGTTCCTGTCTTGCCAGTTGTTTGGCATGAGGCGTCCAGCACTGGAGCTTGCTGGCCCTTGGGTGGAGTCGGGTCGTAGTGTTGGGGTGGAGACCTCTGGGAGAGCTCTCACCGATTAATATTCCATGGGGCTGGGAGTTCTCTGGTGGTCCAACATCCTGGACTCAGCTCTCCCACCTTGGAGGCTCATTCCCGGGACTAGATTTCTGAACCTTCTAGACTGCAGAATAATGGGGCCTGTCTGGATAGTGCTTGAAGAACGTGGCCAAGATCAGCGGTCAGGAGTCAGTCCCACACAGGCTTCCGGGGAGCGTGACTTTTTCTGCACGGCTGTTCTCGAGGCTGCTTGGCTTTGACCTTGGGTGGCACTGGGCCTGTGCACTAGCCTGGAAGTGGGAGACCCAACCGGGGCCTCTCCCTCATCCTTCCAAGGTACCTCAGGTTCTTCTACATGGCCCTGCCCCTCCGCACCCTGAAGATGTCACCTGCAGACTGTGTCCCATTGCAGCCTTTTTCATGAGTTCTTACCTCTTCAGTCTTAGCAGTCTTGGGAAAGAAGTTCTGTCTCTCTTGCAGGATTGGAGGCAATTTTTTTACAGCTCAGTTCTTTTGGAATTAATTCCTTAACACTGATTTTTCTTCCCCCAAGGAGGGGAGGGGGGCGTCAGGTGTGCATTCACCCTTGCAGGCAGCTGCCAAAGTGGTCCACATACAGGGCAGCCCCAGTGCTCCTGGGTTGTCTCTCTGTTTTGCACTTTACCCCAGACTATCAAAACTTCACTGTCCTGTGTCCCAGCTCCACCAGTACCTCCTTTCCTACTGCTAAGTCAATAAATAGTATCTTGGCTTAGAAAGAGGTGCTTTTGTGGTTGACTGTGGTGGCACAAGGCAAGGGGCTGGAGAATGTGTTCCCGCTCTGCCGTTCTAGCAGAGTGTGACTGTGACCAAGGCATTTTGCTTCTTTGAGCCTCAGATCCTGCATCTTGAAATGGGAACATCTTCCTACCTTGACATGGTATCTGTGACAGTATCAAGGTAGCTGAACATGTATATGCAAGACTCCAGGGCATGGAGAAGGAACGATGAGGCATGGGAAATAAGACAAACACCCATCTCATGGGGGAAGACTAAGGTCACAAGGTGGAGACCTGCCTGTGAAATGGGGCCCAGAAGAATTGAGAAGTCCTATTCCTCTCAGCCTTCTTCATTCCCACTCCCAGGGTAGTTCCCATACTCCTCCTCGGCCTGGAAGAGCATTCAGGGCTGGCGCCCAGCTGAGGGCACCTTAGGATGACCACAGAGGCAGGCTGGGGTTCAAGTGGAGTGCTTAGTGGTGCTGACAGGGAGGCTGCACGAGACCTGGGACACCACAGGCGATACACCCATGGGCAACTGAGCGTGGAGGCCAGGCATCGATGAACCACTCTTAGGTTGGTCCAGCCCTCAGTCTGGGCACAGTTCCCATTCACTCACTCATTCATTCATCCAACCATTTATGGAGCATCTGCCATGTGCCAGGCAAGGCACTGGATTCTGGGGCAGCTGGTGTCGGGACGGGCTGGACCCCTGTCCTCTGAGTCCAGCCCAGCCTTGCAGCCTGGCCTAGCCCCAGTGCCTGTGCCTTGCAGACACTCGTCAGCGCCATGAGGCAGACAGCCTGCACCGTGGCCTCCGTGCTCGTCCTGCTCTTCGTCCTGATGTACGTCTTCGCTGTCCTGGGCTTCTGCCTATTTGGAGTTCCAGAGAGTGCTGACCTGAATAACTGGGGGAACCTGGCTCTGGCCTTCTTTACCCTCTTCAGCTTGGCCACGGTACCGTGTTTGGGAGCAGTGGTAGGGGCAGGGGACTTGAGAAGGGACTGGCAGCTGGTGTGGGCGTGTGGACATGCTGGGCCTCACTTGGGGGCCTTTCCCATGTTCAGACACTTAGCTGGTCTGGGGAAGCTGGGGGCTGGCCTCCTAGGACTAAGGATAGGCCAGTGCCCTGGCCACAAGATTATCTCTAATCTTGTGACTCCTTAGAGCATTCTTATTTGTCCCACAGGGGTGTAAAACTTTCAAAAAGTTTTCAAAAGACAATTCATTCAGATTAAGTTTAATTTAGAAGGGAAACCCATGTCACAGAGCCTTTTTGGGAACAGGCTGTCACAAAGCCACCCAGAAGAAGCCTGCAAAGCCCAAGTCTCAAAGTCTAGATTCTGTTGGACTCTGGAAAGATTGGGGTCTCTCCAAAGGAGGGCCTGGCAGAGAGGCATTGTCTTTTGGGGAGGGATGGAAGGCCTTTTGGAGGAGAGCCCTTAGGGCACCTTGATCAGCAGTGCCCCCACCCAGTGGTGCCATGCAGCTCCAGGCCAGCATGTATGCCCTGGAGTCAGAGGATTAGGGGCTGTCGCAGGGCTGATGTGGAAGGAAGCCGGCCTGCTCCTCGGTGGGGCTGGGGCTCCCCACGGTGGGTGAGAGGAGGCCTGCCGCTCTGGGCCTAGGTGCTGAGCATACCCTGCCTTGCCTGAGCAGGTCGATGGCTGGACAGACCTGCAGCAGCAGCTGGATGCCCGGAATTTTACTCTGAGCCGTTCATTCACCATCATCTTCATCTTGCTTGCCTCCTTCGTCTTCCTTAGCATGTTCGTGGGTGTGATGATCATTCACACTGAGGTGAGGTGGTGCTTGTAAGGATGGGGGAGTGGTAAGTGTGGCAGGTGGATGGGCCAAGCCTCAAGGGAGGACACTGAACTATCTCCCTCCTGAAGTGGAGGGGGGGTGACCAGGCTCTACCGCAGCCTGACTCTTTGCCCTGAGCCCTGCATTTTCCCTCCCTCATGATGCTGGCGTGCAGGGTAGGTGCTTAGGAAGTCACTGCAGCTACAGTTGGCAGCTTGAGCTGGGGGCTGGCCTGTGAGGGGATCCTCCTGCTGAGGGGCCTGAGCAGCAGTGGGAGACTGGGGAAGAAGGAAGACGGGAGTGGTGCGCACTGAGAGCCCATATCTTACCTCCATCCTCCCACCCTCTAGGACTCTGTCAAAAAGTTTGAGCGGGAGCTGATGCTAGAGAGACACATGACACTCATGGAAGAAAAGCATGTGATTTTGAAGCGGCAGCAGGAGGAGATCAGCAAGCTGATGCAGACGCAGGTAGGTGGTCTCCACGGGCCGGCGGACAAGCAGAGGGACAGTCAGGGCTGAAGGAATGGTCAGGAAGACGGGCCTTGGGGCCTGCGTGGAGGGCGGGTGGCCTTAGGCATTTGTGGCATTTGGTAAGTCAGCTACTCACCCCCCCTGTACTTTGCAGAGTCAGACGTTATTCTCTGTATTTTTATGTTTCTCTGGACCTCTTCAAGTGTTGAGTGTTGTGGTTATCGTATTTCCCTCCTTCATGGGCAAAACTCCATTGCTGGGCCCTTTGCCTGGAGCACTCTTGCTCCTGAGGACTCGCTGGGTGCCAAGCAGGCTTTGTCCCCGTCCACTGAGCGGGCGAGGCCGTGGAGGCCCTGACAGGTGTTACTAACCTCAGTTTTTCTAAACTGGATCAAGAGTGAGCACAGTGGGCTGGAGATTTTCCCTCAAGCATGATGCAACTGTGAGGGGCTGGAGGAGAGTCCTCTCTTTTCGGCCGAAGTGCTCTGAGCTGCCGGGGTGCTCAGCCGGGTCGTGAACAGCATGCTGCCCCTTTCTCGGCCAAGTGGCTGGTGCCTTCCTCCTCAGCCTCCTCTCTGAGGTGGAGATGCCCGCCTGTCTCGGTATGCCCAAGGTTCGTCCAGAACAGGGTGAAATGCTGAGCCACGCTCAGGCTCTCACCGATTCCTTCCCGTGTCACCTGTCCTCATGTCAGGGATGGTGGCTCACCAGGTGACCTCAGTCAGGGGGGTCCAGGCCCAGAAGGGGTTGGGGTGAACTGTGATTGGACTCAGGATTCATCCTGGGGCCAGGGTCAGGCCTCTGCCTGGGCCCCACGTGGAGGATCCCCAGGTCTCTGTGCAGCCCGGTCACTACCTCCTCATCCTTGCTCTCTTTATGCTTCCCTCTCTAGAAGAATGTTGACGACAAAAGTTTCACTGAGCTGGTGGAGAAGTTTAAGAAGACCCTGCGGCACACTGACCCCATGGTCTTGGATGATTTTGGCACTAGCCTACCCTTCATTGATGTCTACTTGTCCACGCTGGACAACCAGGATGCTACCATCTACAAGTCAGTCCCAGCCCCGCTGACCCGGCCCCAGGCCCAGGGGGGCAATGGCTGATGTGCAGGGCGGGTAGGGCGAGGCCCTTCCTGGCGGTGTGCAGGGGCTGGGCTGCTGTGCGGATGGGCCTGTGGCTGGGGGAGACTCCACCCACTGGCCTCCCCAGCCCACCCTGACCTGTTTTTAAATACTGGCTCCTCTGACTCTCCAAGACCCTCCTCACCAAGCACTTTTCAGAGGGCCGAGAGAACGCTGCTGGCTGGCAAGTCAGAAGCTGAAGCCCCTGGCTTGGTGCTGTGTGACTCTGGCAAAGTCTTTGTCCCTTTCCTACCCGGCACAGGATGGGTTGACTATGGAAGCAATGTGTGTGAAGCTCTGAGCTTGGCCTGGCCCAGGGCTGTGCTCAGTGTGAGTTAGCTGGGGTCCTTCTGGCCGTTACTTGCAGGAAGGGGAGGTGCACGATTAGCCTGGTTTCTCAACAAAAGCTGCCTTGAGGGCTTCGCAGACAGGAGGAACTAAAAGGAGGGGATCTAGGAATGACCAGTGTTGGCCCAGGCGTGGACCAGGCAGCGTCTGGGCACCTCCACGGGCTCACCTCGCTCCGAGCCCAGGAGTCTGTTGCCTCCCACCTGACACATGTGGTGAAATGACTTTACTCCTGGGGCCACAGGTAGAGTGGCACAGCCGGGCTCCCAGCCCAGCCCCATGTGGCTCTGAAGCCCTTGCTCTTCCGTGACCCCACATCTACCAGGAGTGGTGAACGTGCGGGTGCGAGAGTGCCGTGGGCAGGGCCAGGGCGGCATGGAGCCCACTCGTGAGCTCAGGCCTCCTCTCCTCCTCCACTTCCAGGCTTCAGGAGCTGTACTACGAGATCGTGCACGTGCTGAGCCTGATGCTTGAAGACTTGCCCCAGAAGAAGCAGTCCCAGTCCTTGGAGAAGGTCGAGAAGTAGTGGATGTGGGCACCCAGGCACCGAGGGCCTCGCAGGCTGTGACACCCTGTCCCGCCAACTAAACACAGGTTTTCTGAGTTGGCCTCTTCACGGTTGCTGTGATCATGGCATTTCTCCACCTTTGGGAATTGGGCCTGAGTAGATGCCCATGAAGTCTGATTCCTCCCTCACATGACACAGCCAGACCTTGGGAGTAGGGAGTGGGGAGAGGGAGGCTCAAGGCCCACTCTGACCAGAAGACACACCTAGGGTCCACACTGGCTCTCTCCTCCTTTGACCCCAGCATCAAGGACCCACCGGGTTCCTGGGAAAGCCACCTGAGGACCCCGGACCGAGAAGGGCTTCCAGCCGCCCCATAAGAGTGCGTGGCTCCTTTGAGCTGGTGTGGCCCTACTGATCCTGGAAGCTCTGCTGCCCTCATCTTTGTGTGTGTGCCCACACCTGGCAGAGCTACAGCTCTCTCTGTGCACCCAGAGCCCTGGAGGCCCCTCTTTGGGGTTCTACTCTGCTTCTCCCTGGCTCACAGTGATGGTGGTGCCCCAGGGGTGCAGCCGTGACTGGAAGGATACTGTTGTGTGGTGTGCAGCTCAGGGGGGCACCTCATGCAGGGGCCAGAGGAGTGGCAGCATCGGGCGCTTTGGGCTGCTCCCTCCCCTTAAGTTAGTTAGAACTCTTTACTCGAAAGGTGGCATTTTCTGTGTCATCCCTGGCTAAATGACTGCCACAGTTGGCAAGGTCCTGGCACCACCCCGGTCCAGCCATCATGGAGCCATCTGAAGGCCCAGGTGGGGCAGGGTGGCTGGCACCCCTTGCTCCCAACTGGCCAGACCAGAGGCCCGGCAGTGCCCCCTCTGCTCCCATTTCTGGGGAGTGTTCTTGAGGCCTGTCACCTTGGCGGTGCCCTATTCTTAGAGGAGAAATGAGTTCTGGGTTGAGCTGTGGGTGGGAAGCCAGCATCTGTAGCTGGGTGCCCAGGCCCACCCTGGGGAGTCAGGTCAGTAGAAAACATGTAGAATTGAGAATGGCTGGACAAGGGTCCCATGCGGGGCCCGTGGGCTCCAGGCCTGGATGACGGCACCCCTGAAGCCAGAGGACAAGGGCTGGTGGAAGCCTTTACTTGTGGTTTCATTCACCCGACTACTATTTACTGAGCTGTGCAGGGTGCTGGGGGTTCTGTGACGAGAAAGCCACAGTCTCGTCCTGGCCCTCTTGGTGCCCACGGTTATCTAGGGGAGACAGTCATCCGGCCAGAACGGATGAGAGAAAAGTTCCCTGAGGAAGTGACAATAATTGTTTGAATGCAGAGAGCATGTGTCTTCTAAGATACTCAGATCATTTCCATTTGCAAATGATCGCACTCAGGACCAAACTGAGAACTGTGTGAAAAGGTGCCAAGAAGGATCGCTCTGGAGCGTGAGACCCATCGCCGTGCAGTGGGGGAGCCCTGTGAGGGCAGGGCGTCTGGCCTCGCTCCTTCCTCGGGTGGAGAGAACTTCGTGCCAGTGCCCTGGGAGGTGGCCCTGAAGTAAGCGGGGTGTGCACCCAGTACCTAACTGTGAAGGGGGCGACTCTTGGCTGGGGGCTTCCGGGGGGGCTCTGGTGGGTGCAGCCCAGTCAGCCCAGGATACAGGCCTCAGGCAGTGGCTCCGATTCAGGGCTGGGATAAAGCAGACGTTGCCAACTGCCCACACTGGATGTTTCAGTGTTGCATGGGGGAATGTGGAAACATCTCCGCCTGCTGTCACTAGGAATCGTGGGAGTTGCCCTAGGCCTCTGGGAGTGAACAAAAGATATAAAAACTTCTGCAGGGAGGCAAGTTAGTGAGTACCATGGTTTTAGAGTCAGGAAACTTGGATTCCTTAATCAGGTGACCTCGGGCAAGGTGTCTGGTCTTTTGAAACCTCAGCTATTTCCTCTGAGAAATAGGCTGATAAAACTGATAAAACTGTTCAGCTATAAAGATCAAATAAAATACATGTGACAGTGTAAAAAAAAAAAGAGACACAGTCAACTATGGTTCGTGCTTCCTGGCTGTCAGATGTGCCTCTGCTGTGAGGCCAGCTGCCGTGGGCTTTCCTGATCAGGGGCTGAGAGGGACTGGGCCAATGACGAGGTGGCTGGGGCAGGGGGGTGGGAGTGGTGAAAGCATGGAGCTGAGAGCAGGAAGCAGAGATCAGGAACCTGGGGGTGGGTGGGGGAGAATGCGTGTCCAGGTGGAGCTGGTACGGGGTGGCCGGTTGCACCAGCAGGGCCCGGTCCCAGCAGGGAAGCCCAGGCACAGGCTGTGGGGCTGTGGTGTGGGAGGGCAAGCTTCCTTTAAGGGCACAAGCAGAAGGCTTTCCCAGAGCAGGGAGCTGGGAGAGGGTGATGTGCAGAGGGCTGGCTCAGCACTGCTGGCAGAACAAGTCACTGGATATTTGGTGTAAAGTCCCAGAGCAGCATTTCTGTTTGGCTCTCTTTGCCTGCAGAGCAAACACTGGCAGATTGGAATTCCCACTTGGGCTCTCACCAACTCAAACAGGCTTGGCCAAGGCTTTCAATTGATTTGCTTGGGGCAGAAGTGGCTCTGCTTGCCCAGGCCTGGCTGTGGAAAGCAGGACCCTCCTCCTCCTCCTTCCCCCAGCGTCAGGATCCAGCAGAGCTGTCCCCAAATGGCTCGCCCATCTCCATCCTGCCAGCTGGGTAGTTTGGGGCTGCAGTGGGATACCCGGGACCTGGGTCTGAGTCTTCTGGTCACACCCAGGCCCTCCCTCAGCTCTTGTAAGAAGGGTATGGAATCCAAGGCTAGAGGTGTTTGGAAGGTGGCTGGATTTTGGGGTTTTTTTTAAACTGCTTGTTGATTCCACCAGCAGGAAGCAGTCTCTATAATATGGAAATCCAGGCAGGACTGAGACTATAAGTGCTCCTCTTCAGTCCAACAGCCCCTAAAAATCCAATACTGAGATGCTGGAAACTGCACATCTTGATGTTTTCCCCAAATGTGGGTGAGACAGGACACCTTGTAAAATGAACTGCCCTTCCCCAGGTCAGGAGAAGACGGCTCTGAATTCCTAACTAGGCTACTCAGAGAGGAGAGGTAATTGTTGCTGATTCTAGTCACAGGGGTTGGGAAATTAGGAGAAAGGAGCTCAGTGTGATGTGGTGAGAGTTACCAACACACGAGCACCCTACTCTTCCCCACACTCTGCACCAAGAATTTCGTCTGCTTGGTCAGCCACGTGCCGCACCTTCCCCAAGTTCTAGCTCTGATTTCACTTAAGGCTTGGTGTGATGCAGCCCTAGGGGGACGGGGGAGGCAGGGCTGGAGAGCTGGAAGGAAAGGGGAGCATCTGTGCTTTCTCGGTTGGCTCCTGGCTTCTCCTTCACTGTGGAGAAGCAGGGTAATGGGCAAGGCTCATCGGACCTACACGATAGGAGCCAGGACATGGAGGAGGAAGGAAGTAAAAGCCAAGGCTGGGAGTCAGAGACTTTGGACAGAGGCTCCGACCCAGCTGGAGGGTGAGAATGGAAAGGGGACAAATGGAGACAGCAAGTATCCTTGTAGGGTGACAGCTGGATCCCCACTGATGTTCCTTGAGAGAGGCAAATAATGATGGAAATTATTTAGGGATGATTTTTGGTTGCTGAACTGTGTCTTTATTTATTTGTTTTTATTTTTAAAAATTAATTAATTTATTTGTGGCTGCGTTGGGTCTTTGTTGCTGCGTAAGGGCTCTCTCTAGTTGCGGCGAGCGGATGCTAATCTTCATTGTGGTGCACGGGCTTCTCATTGCAGTGGCTCCTCTTGTTGCGGAGCACAGGCTCTAGGCACTCGGGCTTCAGTTGTTGTGGCACACGGGCTCAGTAGTTGTGGCGCACGGGCTTAGTTGCTCCGCGGCATGTGGGATCTTCCCAGACCAGGGCTCGAACCCGTATCCCCTGCGTTGGCAGACGGATTCTTAACCACTGCGCCACCAGGGAAGCCCTGAACTGTGTCTTTTAAAAATGGAGCCCTATGAAGAGATTCAACCACTTGGGGTCTGCATCATGTTTGGGTGACGTAAAGGTGGCGGTGTGTAATAAGGACCTCTTAGGCTAAAATTGGGATATGTTTAGAGGGCTTTACGAACCACTGACTGAGCTCCCAGCTGTGATCTGAGGCCTCTAGGTGAAGTACCCCTGAGGGTGGTGGCACCAAATTTGACTGGCATTTTGCAAAATGAAACTGAGGTCTCAAAAGGAAGTGTGGAAGAGGCCATAGGGGGATGAAGAGTCTGCTCTAAAACTCTGAGGAAACTGGAGGTTGACCCCAACTTTTGTAAACTGGTGATGGGGCAATGACCTTTCACAGCAGAGGCACCCCACTGCCCAGAGCTCAGTGTCCTGAGAGCACAGCTGCCCCTTGACTCCCTTCTTCCCCACTGGGGCCTTGATGCCTGGGATTGGGGCATGAGATGAAAAGACTCTTCAAAACATGCTGCTGGGCCAGCGAAGGAGGAGTCCAAGCAGAGGTCAGGCCGAGGCTCCAAAGGTATGGCCTGTTCTCTTTGGCTGTGGAAAATACCACCTTCTGTTTTATCAGTAGTTCTGTTTAAGACACTTTGACATACATGATTTGAATCTCATAACAACACTTAGGTACTTTCATTATCCCCATTAAACAGGTGGCAAAACTGAGGTTCGAAGAGGCAATTAACCTACCCAAGGCTGTATAACTAAGGGGGGAGAACCAAGCGTGTCTGACTCTAACTGCGCTGCTATAATATGGTGCAACGTCCTCTAGGGAATTGTTATCCTCATCTTATAGGTGGGCAAGCAGCGCCCAGAGACTGTTACTTGGCAAGATCATCACTGGAGGGCAGAGTTAGTATCTGAACGCAGACCACACGTGTCCCCCTCTGCTCTACTGTCTCACAGCAACCTTGTTTTTTCTTATCAAAGCTATTTTTTGAACCTTAAGAATCAAGCCCTAATTCCCTCCTGAGCAGGGCCTGCCTCTGGGAGGAGGGAAGGTGGTCTCTCAAACGGGTCTCATTTAGCCAGTTTCCTGGCACCTTCTTGCTGCCTGGTGGAAGCTCTGAAGTCTGCTGGTCCAGCGGCTCCTGGCTCGGGAGCCCTGGGAGCTCCAGAGATGGAAAGGGCAGCAGGAAGCAATCAGTGTGTGGCACCTAATCAGGAAATTATAGCTTGGGCAGAAGAGGGGTTTGGCTTAGAAGTCACCCTTCCCTGGGTTTCAGTCAAGCAGGCCCACAGGCAGGCTTGGCCAGCCGATGGGATGTGCTGAGCAGGCGTGAGCTCAGCAGGCAGGATAAGCCAGCCTCGTCATTGCTGCCCAGGAGGCTGGCTTCCTAGGTGGGGATGATGTATTCCAACCTTTCTGGCCCCCTGCCTGCTGCTGTACCCACTGATACCTCATCAGCAAGGGGAGAAGCTGTGGGCATCAGAGGGGGTACTTTGGGAGGTTCTTGACCTGAGTCGGTGACTTTTTACCTGATTCTTGAATAAGCAAGTGGAAAAGGTGTGAAAGAAGTGTCAGGTGGAAAAAGCCAGGTGCAGAACTGTACATACGTGACACCATTTGTATTTAAAAAAAAAAGAAAGTGAGAAATAAATAAAACCACACACACAGTGGCAGTGAGATACTCTTTCAGGTGGCAAGGATGATAGACGAAACCTAGTATTGGCCAGGGTATGGAGGTGGCACCCCTGTTCACTTTGGCAGTGCAGATAGGTGTGGCTTTTTCAGAAGGCAATGTGGTTTAGATTTTATGCATGTGTTCCTATGGCCCAACAGTTCTGCTTATGAAATTATCCTGAAGAGCCAAATGACAAATGCACAGAGATGCAGGGATAAGGATGTTTACTGTGGCCTGTTGTGATAGAAACACAGCAAAAGAAATCAAGGAATTACTTAATGCCCATTGGTGAGCCGACTGGTTGAATTAGTATGAGTCCGTACATGTGGCCCCTAAAATAGTGATGTGTTGATAAGAATAGATGTTCTTGATATTATATGATTGAAAAAGTGGCTTCTAAAGTAGCATGTGATCTGACGTCCTTTATGTAACACTGAGTGAGTGAGTGTCTGTAGCATATGTGTACATGCACGTGTGTGTGCTGAGCGATGTCTGGAAGGATAATCATATTAGTAGTGGTTTGGTGGTCTTGACTTTGTCCTCACACTTTTCTGAACTTTTTGAATTTTAAGAATCAATATGTATTTTACAATCAGGAGAAACAATACAATTTTCATCTTGAAAAAAAATGCTGGGAATTCCCTGGCGGGTCAGTGGTTAGAACTCTGCGCTTTCACTACCGGGGCCCGCATTTGATCCCTGGTCGGGAACTAAGATCCTGCATGCTACACGGTGTGGCCAAAAAAAAAAAAAAAAAGTTAAGCAGTGTGCGTGGGCGTGTGTGCATGTGCGTGTGTGTGCATGCACAGCTGTGCCTGTGGTAGGTGGAAGGGCATTCCAGGCAGAAGGAACCACAGGCACAAAAGAAAGAGGGTGGGAGCTGCAAAGCTGGTGTGGCCACAGCCTGCAGTATGGGCGAGGTGGTGGGGAGATTGGGGAAGTACATTGAGTATGATCCTG